TGTGGGCACATCCCCAGTAGGAGGTGTGCAGGAGGCAGCTGATGGATGTTTCTCTCTCATGGATGTGTCTAACTCTCTATCCCTCTCCCTTCCTCTTTGTAAAAAATCAATAATAATATATATTTTTTTAAAAATCCACCAACAAGCACAACTATTTAAACTATTAGACATATAGTGGAAGGAGAATTCAGTGTGCAGTGAGTCCATACCCCAGGCCTCTTCGTAACACAGATTGCGCCTACTGGGGTGAAACTCTGCATTTAGGAACTTTATTCACATGAACCGACTGGTGTAAGTCACTCAGCCTCTCCAAGCTCTAGTGTACTTGACTTGTCACAGTGGTCATGGATTCTAGGGCTGACAAGAGGACGAACTTTAAAACCAGTCATATAGGAAGCATCTTGTAAACTGGTAACATGTGAAACAGATGTGAGGTATCAATGACTCAGTCGGGGGTGCTGTAGGCTGGGCTGGGAAGAACCAAAAACATGTCTATGATGGGGTCCTATCAGGTTAACCTATCACCCACCATCTCACTTCTCCTAAAAACAATTTAAGATGTTTACTCTGCTACATAGTGGGGTTTGAGGACTCAGGTTGTGAGAATTAAGTGTCAGCCTTACCTCATTTTGGTTATCATACAAAACTAACCTTTGTAACATTCTAGGCCTGTCAGGAAGGGAGATGACACGGTCTCTCCTCCAGCTTCAGTCTGCGCACCTGGGGAGGATGGAGGGAGAGGGCCATGGTAACAGGAGCGAAGGTTAAGTAGCATGCCTTCTAGTCCACGTGTGTTTACATTTCAAATGGCAGTCAGTAGGAAAACAAACTTTGATTTGCAGGTATTTTTAGTTGTATTTTTAATATTTATTTTACTGACTTTAGAGAGAGGGTAGAGGAGAGGGATAGAGAGATAGAAACATCAATGAGAAAGAAGCCTGATCGGCTGCCTTCTGCACGCCCCTCCCTGGAGATCGAGCCCGCAACCCTGGACATGTGCCCTGACTGGGAACTGAACCGGTGAACTCTTGGTTCATGGGTCAAGGCTCAACCTCTGAGCCGCACCGACCAGGCTGATTTGCAGTTTTTCAACATAAAAAACGTTCAGGAGCATATTCCTAGAAACGGGAGCCGCAGTTCCTGGCTAATGTGTTACTAGTTATGGGTCAGAGACGGTGTGTGCCTTTTGCCCTGGTCTTTGCTTTGTTTGCCACACAGCCTTTGTTCATACTGTCACAGCAGAAGCCCAGCCTCGCAACTGGGCTCCCTGCTCCCCTGGGGCTTCAAACCAGAGAAATGAAAACAGGTTGTGAGAGGTTTTTTTTGTTGTTGTTTGCTTGTTTTTTTTTAATATATCTTATTGATTTTTTACAGAGAGGAAGGGAGAGGAATAGAGAGTTAGAAACATCCATGAGAGAGAAACATCCATCAGCTGCCTCCTGCACACTCCCCACTGGGGATGTGCCTGCAACCAAGGTACATGCCCTTGACCAGAATCGAACCTGAGACCCTTCAGTCTGCAGGCCAACGCTCTATCCACTGAGCCAAACCGGTCAGGGCGAGGTTTTTTTTTTAATGATGCTGATTCCTAATCGTATCACCATCTACTGACACATATCTCTTCGGTTCTTACAGCCCTGCTTAGAGAGAGGGTTAGAACCTAAACATCTAGTAAGGAATGGCTCTGGCTGCCTGTGGAGAGAGAAGGGGTGCTTCTTGACATCAGAGAGGGGCTTTTGGCTGTTGTCCAGCAGGTCTGCGTTCTGGGGACTGGGCCTTCCATAAATGATGAGCATATTTGAGGGGAGAGCCCAGAGGGAAAGATCTGGTCCCTCTGGAAGGAAGGGAAGCAGAAAAAGGAGACAGCTGGTGGCTAATGGGAAGGTGCGACATCCTCTCCTTCCCCCAGATGGTCTCCCTTTCCTTCAGTGGGAGTGGAAATCACATGGAGGGCAGCCAGGTACTTCTCCCACAGCCGGGGAGGAGGGGGCTGTGTGATGAAGTCCAGTGTTTTAAAGTGAGAGGGGACCCCTGAGGGAACGCTGCACATGGAGGGCCTTATCTGTAATAGAGAAAAGCACAGTGTGCAGGGGATGTTAGGACCTCACTAAACTAAGATTTAACATGGAGTGTATGATCACCATTGCTTTTACTGTTAAGTATTTTCGCAGTGTATTTATGTGCACATTTTAGACCTGATTTGCTTATATTAAGCTCTTCCTCTAGTCTCGACTCTATGCTCCTTGGGGGTAGATATTTCAGTTGTTTCTGGATCCCCAGAACCGTCCCAGCTCAGCCCGGGGCCAGGAGATGTTTAATCGCTGTTGGATGAATGAACTAACCCTGTCATCTCAGCAGGACAGTCTAGAGACTTGCAGAAACTCACAGGAGAGACATTCCTGGCAGAACAAAAGTCTGATTTCAAAGACATTGAGTTTCAGGTTCATCTTATCTTACTTATTATTTTGTTTAATGGTACTCTAGAAACAGATAGGATGACCTCACTAAAAGAGTAGTCATTAAGTTAATAATTACATACCTGATGGGTTTTCTTTATTCATTTTCTTTTTCTCTCTCTTTTAAAGGAATCCTTTGCTGAACACCTGGGCTACTCAAATGGGGTCATCAATGGGTAAATCTTAAACTTTTTTTTCTTCTAAAAAATAGTTTGTTGGTCCTACCTCAACTTTTCTCTCTCTAGTGTTATTCGTCATACAAATACACACAGCCAGCCTCCTTAGCCCTCTCCCCTCAGGAGAGCCTACAGAAGTTGTGAACCAAAATGTATCAGCATCTCTTGTACTTTAGTGGCATAAATTACCACATGCCTTGAGTAAGTGGCTATTCAAAGGACATAGATCTCATTTAATAGATTTAATAGTATCCTAGTTCTAAAAATGTTGTCGAAGCTTCAAAGGGTTGTTATTTATAACCAATAGTGTAGCTTAGGCTTCAAGAGGATTTATCATATTGAATTTCAAGTGGATATTTAGTATTAACTCGTAGGAGTAGAAGTGTCTCATCTACTATAAATATGTATGACTTTACAGTAATTTGTTAGAAATACAGTCTGTATAGGAAACATTTTTCATAAGCAGTGGACATTGAAGAGAAGCATGCCTTGCAACAACAAGAAGGAACATGCTTAACAGGAAGTCTCTGTTTTTGCTTGCTTGGCACCAGGGAAAAGGTATTATTAGGACACAGGACTTATTCTCGGGTCCCAAGGGCAGACCGTGTCACCAGGAATTGGAACCCTCCAGAAGCAGTGCCACCAGGCTCTGCTGCCTCCCCACTGCCCCCCTTTCTCTGGGTTCTGTGGTTGCTGCTGGTGCCATCAGGTTGGCCAGGGTTGCATATTAAGATCATGGTCACAGGGGGTGTTTGGAGGTCAGTTCTCAGAGCAGGGGAGGGACACTAGGAAGACCTACAGTTGAAAATGTGTCTCTTAGACACAACACATACGTATTGTGTCGTAAAATCAGCTACCGAATGGTAGATTTCACTGTCCTAGACTGCAAGTGCCCTGGAGAGTTTTCCAACAATACCAGTCCTACAATAAAGTTTTAATAACAACACATCCTTGTTGATAAAAGGGAAAAGTGGGTGATTGTGGAGGAAAACGGCTCTACTTTAGCTTATTGACACTCTTCTCCATCTGATGGCAGTACACATTACCATTTA